CAGGCCTGGGCTCCTGTGGTAGTCCGCTGGTCAGAAGAGGCAGTCCTGTGCTGCAGGCTGGGCTCGGGCAGGTGCCTGCTGGTGGAGGGGTGGACCCGGGCCTACTGTGAGCCTGAGTCCTGTGTAGGCTCATGTGGGTGAATCTGGGCCGCAGGGCCTGACCTCCCACGGTAGTCTGGTGGTCAGAAGGGTGGTTCTGTGCCAGAGGCTAGGCTCTAGCGGGCGTCTACTCTGTGGATGAAGGGATAGATCTGGGCCTACTATTAGCCTGGGTCCCACATGGCTGGTGTGGGCGGGCTGGTCTGGGCCTGGGCTCCCCTGGTAGTCTGCTGCTCTCCCTTGATTCTTACTGAATAATAATTTCCTTAATGAATAATAGGGAAGGGGAAATAGTGTGATCATTTTACAGATGGGAAAACTGAGACCCAGGGGTCCAAATTTTGCTGAGATCATGCTGGTAGCCAAAACAAACTTGGGACAGGAACCCAGAGCTGAGTTTCTGTCTACCAAAGGGACAGGAAACGACAACACTACAGGAAATGGAAATACAGGGAACAGTAAAAGTCCCAGGTCTTCATCACTATGGTCAAGGCCAAGGCCAGCATCTGCAGCGCAGGCACCTGGGAGAGTTTAGTTGACCTCTGCTGCCACCAAGTGGTGATTCTGCAATGTGTCAGCCAAGGAAGCTATTCTCAGCCTTTGACAGGTTTTTTTTATTGTTGTTTTGTAGGACAGTGGTTCTCAAAGGGGACCACAAGGTCAAAACAGTGTTTGTAAAATCCTGAGATGTTACCTTTTTTCACTGACATTCCCCCATGATCATATATGGAATTTTCCAAAGTCTACTGACCTCACAGACTGAAAGCAGAAGCTGATAAGGGACTTCAGCTGCTTTCTATTTAAGCCAGACATTCAAAAATGAAAACCCAGGCAAACTTTCTCATTATATTTGCTTGGAAGGAATGTTTTCCCAAATTCTTTTATTCATATTGACATGTATTAGGTTATTATACTTTAAATGAATAAATATTTCTTAAATTTACAATTTTCATTTCTGGTAAATATTGATAGATAAGCAGAAATTCTTTGAGGTCTTCAGTAATTTCTAAGAGTGGAAAGATCCCTGTTGAGATCACTACTGTAGAATGGTGAAAGCTATTCCCAGTAAAGCTCCCTGGCCAAGGCAGAAGCCCTTCGACTCCTGGATAAGACACCAAAACTAGTGCCTCACTTGAAATTCTGCTGTTTCTAGTGTTTCTGTAAAGCACATGTCATTTGTTTAAAGACATTCCAGATGATGGCACAGAAATCAATACCTGACACTGATACTGGTCTTGGAAATCAGGATTGGGTCCTTATTTCCCCAGCGTTGAAGATGAAACACCCGAGAAATGCCAAGTCAAGAGTAGAAAGCAAGCTGGGTTCGGTGGTGCATGCCTGTAATCTCAGTGGTTTGGAAGGCTGAGGCAGGAGGATTAAGAGTTCAAAGCCAGCCTCAGCAAAAAACCAAGCACTAAGCAACTCAGTGAGATCCTGTCTCTAAATAAAAATACAAAATAGACTTGGGGAGTGCCAGGAGTTCACTCCCCTGTACCCAAAACAAAACAAAACAAAAACAACAAAAAGAGAGACAGCCCAGAGATAGCAGACCTCTGGAGAGAAGTGGAGGCCCAGAGCTAGGTGTTGTGGGAGGGAGTGGTCTTATCTCTTTTATAGATCTCAGATTTCCTCTCCCCATCCACACCTCCACTTTCTACCCTGTTTACTTGCCCAAGGGCAGGAAAGAGCCTAGCAGGAGGGTGATCATTAGCTACTTCAGTGTAGGGAGGAGCAACTCCCTAGAGGTATTAGCAACTGGTTGAGGAGCGAGGTACTCTGGAGGTATTGGCAACCCTGTTTCCTTTTCTTTAATAATTATCCCTCATCTTTCCTAACTGAGCATTTACTATCTACTTGCTGTCCTTTGCCCCTATCTGAATACTAAGCTTCCTGAGGTCAGGGTCCTTGATGTTGTCACCCCATGTCTATTGCAGCTCTGGGCTGCGGACTCAAACATTTTTTTTTTTAAGAGAGAGAGGTGCTGATATGTTGATTAAGAAAAAGACCTATGTTGTTGACCCTATGTGTTCCACAAGATCACCTGCTCACAATAAGGGATAGGGAGGGAAGCATAGGAGTTCACTGGATTAGATAAAGGGGAATGAAGGGAAAGGAGTGCGATGGAAATAGGAAAGACAGGAGAATGAATCAAATACAACTTTACTATGTTCATATATGAATACACAACCAGTATAAATACACATCACGTACAACCACAAGAATGGGAGTATTCCATGTATGTGTAGTATGTTAAAATACACTCTACTGTCATGTAAAACTAAAAAGAACAATTTTTTTAACAAAAAAAAAAAAACACCTTCTCCAGAAAAATCTAAGAGGAAGCACTGCTGGCTGACCCCTCCCAGTGACTGGCTATCTTGAGATTGTCTGCATTGGGAGACCATTCTAGAAGGACCATTCTGATGGCATTTATGGAAGACCTGTAGCTTTTTGTGGAGGAAGGGAACAGGAACATGTGTTGGAGGTGGTGTCTGACCAGCATGGAGGGGGGCAGAGGTGACAAAGGGCTGTCACTCAGAGCCTTGCTAGGGGTGGGCAGTGTGGCATAACCAGTTGGGGACCTGAGAAAAAAGTGCCAGCATGCACTGTGCAAAAAGGTGTGCTTTAATCTAAAAAAAATATAACACGATATAAGCTCACTGTAAGAACTGAGACACTTACTGATGTACAAAGAGACGATTATCAAAGTAGAAATTGACAAGCTTTCCCCAGTTCCACATCCCAGAATTAGCCACTGTTAAACTTGGTGCATATCCTTCTGGACTCTTCATTGCCCGTGTAGTTGTGCGTTTACAATTCATATTGTAAAAAGAAAATGAGTAACATGCACTTATTCTGCCCCTTCCCTTCCATGTTTGTTACATTGCTGACACAATATTGCCATTACAATATGTGTAAGATCTGTCTCATTCTCTGTGACTGTGTGAGACTTGTCTGGAGAATGGCTGCATCTCCATTGATTTAAACCCCCCCCCCATCAGTTGGGCATCTAGATCTCTAAATTTCCATTATTACAGACAATTCTCCATGAATTGTGATGTTCCATGGTTTGCCCATAAATCTGTGCTTCCTTCATTTCAAACACTATTGGTAATTGTTGGTTCACAAGTGTGCAGATAAGGAAGACTGTGAAAGAAGGCACCCAGGGGTGACTCTAGCACAGGTTGGTGTATCATACCACTGGGGTTGTATGGATACCAGGGACATGGAAGCTGCTGGGGGGGGGGAGAGGAAGAAACCTGGAAGCCCTAGGTGGTATACCTTAGCTGGGTCTGGAATGCAGACTTTCCTGTCCCTGGAGATGATGGGGGTGAGGGTGTCAAGGCCAGAGAAAAGTACAGAGGCAAGGGGGTCTGGAGGGTGGACGGCAGACACAGCTGTCCAGAGGGTCCATTGGCCACTCAGTCATTCCTTCAACAAAAAATCGAGTGCCCTTATGCTCCTGATACTGGTTGGGATGGGAAAATGACTGGAGCACAGGAAACCTGGGTCAGAGCAATGAAAGGGGAGTCTAGAAGGACCATTCTGAAGGCATTTATGGGAGACCTTCAATAGAAATTCTTGAGACTCCATACTTAGGTGTCCCAACAGCTTTCTGTTTTTTCCACTGAAATGATCATCACCATTTCTGCTAGTGATGTTCCCTGGGCTGGACAGCAGGGACGGTGAGACCATGGGAGGATTGTCAAGAGGGATTGGTGGTCCAGGTCCTCAGCAGGTGTTCAGGGACAATTGGAGTCTGTTTTCTGCATCTGTGAGCTGGGTCAGCGGTGATGTTCTCATTATCTTCTATTATTTGAGGAGCACCAAGATGATATGGACGACCTGAGGAGGGTCTGGACACCTGAATAAGGCTGTTGTATTGCAGACTCATCCGGGTGTCCAGTAGAAGACCCCGGATGACCCTGTGAACCCAACACCGCTTCTAATTAATCTGAGCAACCAGAACTAGCACCAGGACATGGTCTAGTTGAGGAGGACCAGGGTGGCGCAGAACAGAGACAGAGGAGCACAAGCTGAGGGGCTCCTCCCAAAGGGAGAACCTTCTGCTGGGCAAGAGGATGTTGCTGGACAGACTTAACACTTCCAACTCCCTTGTGTGCAGTCATGCTTCATTTTGGGTCTGGTGTTGGAGATTTTCAGAGGCATGATCCAAGTCACCAAAAGGCAAGGTGGTGGTGAGTGGGACCAGGTTAGTGGAGAAATCAAGGGAGACTCTTTTAAGGGAGTTTTAAAAAGGGAATTCAGGGACATTCCCCTGTCTTGAATTTAAGCCAGGGATGGCAAGTGGATTTATCTTACATTCTAGTTCTGACCGACTGGTGGTGGCTGCACAGTGTTGAGGATCCTGAAGTGACATTTAGCTCAGTGAGAAAGGGCTCTCTGCTGGACTAGGTTTGCCTACCTCCGACACAGAATTGGGAGTGACATCATGGATATGCCACTTCAATAGCAAAAGAGCCAGGTCTCCCAAGTGGTTCTAATAGGAAATAAAACACAGAACAGTGAAATCATTCTGGAAACCAGAGTGTCGACAAAGTGTTTTGTTTTGTTTTATTCTCCAGGTGAAAATCAGGCCCAGAGAACACCCACCCCTCTGAGTTCAGGGTCACCATCTCTGGAGCCTTAAGGCACAGGCTGGGGAACACCTACCTGTCTTTCTCTCCGTGGCCCTTTTCAACCACGGTGCCCTTCACTGCTGACCTCAGGAACCTGGGAGAACGGGAGCCAGACAGCCATCCCTAGTTCCTCGGCTTACTTGCATGGAGCAGGCTTCTCTCTGGGCCATGCCATCTCCAGGGGCCTGAAGAGACTCAGGAATGAGGGTACCTGGTGCCTCTTGGAAGTCAGCCAGAGGCATCTGACACAGAAACAACCTGAAGAGGTTTTTAATGCTTTTATTTGAAAACCTAGAGTCAATTCCAGCTCCTCCATGTGAATCCCCAATGAGTTTATGACAGTTGCAAGGGCAGGGTTTATTTGGCCCTGACTTTTTACCATGCACTGATCTGGAGCTGATATAGATGGTCACTGCTTGGTCAATGGTCCATTGGTTTCTTCCAAAGCAACAGCTCAGGGCCCCAGGCTGGGGTGAGGGGCAGAGAGCCTGTAGTCATGAAGGAAGGCGTCTCGAGGCCAGTGCACTGGCTGGAGGCCCACTTGACACAGAGCCTGCATGGCCAGGGTCCTGATTTCTCTCCAGTAAATTTACTCTTGCTGGTTGGGCAGATGCTGCCAGCCCCAACATGTAGTGGAATGAGACCCTGGTCAGATGACACCAGTCCTGGGAGAAAAGGAGCAAAGATAAGAACATTATTTTTTAAGGCTGTCATCTTGGATCTTAGGGTCAAACAACCCACTCAGAGAGTTCTTGTGACTACTCATGGAACAGCAATGGGCCAAGCCTCACCATGAAAACACATGTACATGGCTGAAGGGCGGGGGCAGGGGCCATCTGGGGTTATATGTAAATGTTTTTAAAAAGATATTATAGAAAGAATGTGTCTCCTTTCCTTGGATATGAAATTTTCCTGAAATTGAAAGTATGCCACTGAGGTTTGGAGCATGCATGTCAAGCAAAGAACAGATCAGCATTATTCCAGGAAGGTTCAAGGTACTGAGAGATGGGCAGGGATGCCCAGTTGGACTCAGAGACCTCAGAAAAGCCATTCACTGGCTGCTGGCCAGTGAATGGGAGCCCATCTCGACTGCCAAATGTCTTTCTTGAATTGTCTGTTGACTCTGGTTTCTCCATGTAAAAGATAAAGTAAAATCCATCACAAAACAGAAACCTCACATACTGTTTATTGGGTTTTATGTTGTCCCTGGGTCACTACTTGTACCTGAGAGGGAAATAAGGCAGGAGACAAATGGCAAAAAGTATTTTTCCTCCCTGAGAATGGAGGTGTTGGGTCCTCTATCCCTGGCAGGCACTTAGAAACGATCTCCACATGAGTCCTGCACCTGTACCCAAGGGACTCTTGAGACAGTCACTGTCCCACCACTGAGGAACTACAGGGCTGCCTGGTCCTGTAATAGCCGTCATCTTGTTCTGTCTAAAGGGTGTTCTACCTGCCTGGAAATGACCTGCCTGAAATCTTAGAGCTACTTGGTAAATTGAAATCTAGGTCTTGGTAGAAGGCCTTGGTATTCTTGGGTCTTGTTTAGAATACAAAACTGAACACCTTGAGCAAGGTTTGTTCAAAATGAGGCTCCAGACCAGATGCTGGGAGCCTCCTCCCCGTCCCTCGCTGGCCTCTTTCCTAAGGGATGCAGATGTCCAAGGCCCTTGCAGAGGAGAGCACTTTCAGAAAGAAAAGCTTCCAATTGGGTTGGGCACTGCTCTGAAAGGCCAAATCCAGGACGGTCGTGACTTGGCTCACTAGAAACTTCCTCCTTCCTCCTGAAGTCACTGATCACCGGGATAGTCACAGTGGCACAGTCTGACAGCTTGGGCAAGCATCCAGCCACTCTGGGATCCGTGAGGCTGGCATTAAAACTATTTTGTAGCTGAAGATTTAATGACATGGAAAAATAGTCCTGAACTATCAGACAGGAAGAGTGAGTTATAAAACGCTGTGTAAAGTACAATTGGAACGTGGGGAGACACATTAAGAACACTTTGAAGAATACTAACAAGTTCCTGTGGTGGCAGGTATTTTTATTTTGCATTTCCAGTTTATTTGGATTTTCCATCTTTTCTACAGTAAAAATATGTTGATCTTATTATAGAATTTTGAAAAGTTACCTTTACCTGTTAAAGGTGTGTGTGTGGGGGTGGTGGCTGATATCTGAACACATCTTCAGTAAACATGACAATGTCCCTGCCCCGCCCTGCCCTGGACATTATCCAAATGCAATAACTCTTCACCAAGATGTTTAGTTATGCAAAATGTGTTACTACCCTTTTCCTTTTATTTCAAAAAAAAAAAAAAAAAAAAGGAGCAAAAAGCCAGAAGAGCTGTGAATGTCAGTCCTTTAGTAAAAATTGGAAGCAGTTTATTTAAAGTCAGCTCCCAGGGCTGGTCCTGGAAGTTTTCTAGAATTCTCTGATGCAGACCCTCCTTGGGAGAGTTTGTAGTCATGGCTGCTGGGAGGCCATCTGTGGAGCTCTGTGGGAGGCCCTAGCAGTATGGGTGGGCAGTGTCCTGGGGCCTTCACCTAGCTGGGAACGGGACAGCAATCAGGCAGGTGGAACTCACCCGGGTGGCATGGGGTGTCTACAGCAGGCACCCCTCGTCCTAGCTGAGAAATCAGGCAGGCATCCTGGGGGAGGAGATTTCTATACCTGGGGCTGCTGGACAAAGACCTGATGAAGCCAAGACAAGGGGGAAGGAGGGAGAAGAGGGAGTTGGGCAGAGGGCGCAGCCTGAGTAAGACCTAGAGGTGAGGACGAGATGGGATGTTCAGGAGGGTGTGAGATTTGAGGCTGGAGAAGGGGCAGGGTCAAAGATGGACTCTGTCTAAAGGGCAGGGGGAAGCCACTGAGGGCATTTGAGCAAAGGAGTCACCTGCTCAGATTTGTTTTTAGAAAATCCCTCAGGTTCTGTGATCTTTCAGAAGCGGGCAGTATGGAGGCCAGGAGTGGTGGCAGAAGCCTGTCCTCTAGGGCCGCAGGAGCTTATGGGAGGCTCTCACACTGAGGCTCTGAAGTTCAACAGGGAGGTGGGGAGGTGGTGCCCTTGGAGCAGGGAGTGGAGGCCTTGTTGGGAGTCCTCGCTTCCGAGCCTGGTCACTCCATTGAAACAGAAGAGCTCACTACACTTCTCTCGAGGGCTGTGGGATGGGAACAAGGGGAGGCGAACTGGCCACACCAGGGAAGTTCTGTGCCCACCTCAGTCACTGAGGACTCAGCACAATGCCAGTCCACAGGTGACAGAAAAACAAATTCAGAAGGCCACAGCATTTTCACAATGAAGAGAGGAGTTTCATACTCACAACTGGCTGGGAAGGAAGCACAATGACCTGGCCCTCATGGGCTCGTCACAGCCTGGTCCCCGCGCAGGGCCTGCAGCGAGAGCTCATACCCAAGGAACATGGCGGCGCTCATGGGGAAGCCTCGCACAGCGTTCACAGTGATGCCTCTGAAAAACACCTTCGTACAGGAGGCCCAGTTAGTGCAGGACCTGACACACACCTTCTGCAGTGCCACCCCTGGGTGCCACAGTCTGGCTGGGCACAAATGCCGCAGTCTGGCTGGGCACACAATCACGAGCCACCACACAGCTTGTAGATTCAAACAGCAACTCTTTATTCCCGAACTCACACCAGCCGTCTACAATCACGTTCTGGGGAAATCCACGTTCTCTGCCCAAATCCACGTTCTCTGGGCTTCTATCTCCAAAATATACTGTCTGAATCCCGTGAGAACTCAAGGGGAACTCAGGCAGCAGGATACGCCCTATTCCCAGCAGGAATAATCTTAAACCTTAAACCTGGAACCTAAACTGGGAACGCCCTAAACAGGATTATCTTAAAACCGGGAACACCCTAATCTGCCTTGGTCCTTGAGCAAGGTCACCTACATTCAATGTCGCTGCAACATGTCAGCAACATGGGGTACGCTGGCAAGGAAATTGTCATACCTACTTGGCTAATGGCTCCCAGCACCTGGGAGCCAGAGAAACAGCTGGTAGTGCTGCCCACCCTGGCCCCTGGCCCTGTGCAAGCAAAGACCACATGGGATGCCCCAGTCATGCCCCTGCCCTGACCTATGTCATGTCTGATGGAGCACCCTCCCTCTCCCCCGCCACTCTGATATACAGGCACTTAGGACCATAAGCAAACCACTGAGTCCCTAAGACACTGTCGAGTCCCTGCATACACTTGCTTGATTGTCCCCCCTCTCTCTCTCTCTCTCTCTCTCTCTCTCTCTCTCTCTCTCTCTCTCACACACACACACACACACACACATACGGGCTCAAGAATCTGGAAATCCTAAGTAGGCAGAACATCACCCATGCCACCACGGTGACAGGTGCTTCATTCATGTGACATCTCCAAAACTGCAAGTGAAAAACTCAGCTGTCCTTAAAACTGCAGATATGGAGTCAGGTCACCGCTTTCTCAATGAGTAGCTGGGTTACCTGGGCGAGTAGCAAACTCTCTGGAACTCAGCGTTCCCAACTGTAAAATGGAGCTGCTATTTGAGGGAATGAATGAGATGCTTCTGAAGTACTCACACAGTGCCTGACGCATGGTGAGCACCCAGCACTGCTGACTGCCACCCCCACCATTGTCATTATGGAAAACTGTCACCTAAAAGTGAGAAGAACTCAACCTCAAACGCGGGCTGAGGAGGCGTGGCCTGTCCTGAGGAGCCGCTAGACTCTGCCTCTGCGGCTCTGTCACCTGAATTTATCTCACATTCCTAGGGACATCATCAGATGCTTCCCTCCTTGAGTCTTCCTGTGTGGTGCTGAGCGGGCTCTGGCAAATGTGGGCAGTTACAACCTATTGGAGAACATGAGCCCCATTTAGGAACAACATAAGCAGACAGTGATGAGCACAGATAAGGGCTTGGGCGAGTGGAGGTGTGGAAGGATCTGTCTTTTCATGTGTTCTGTGGGCAGAAACAACCACCCAATCCTCACTCAAGCATGAATGACCTGAGAACTGTCAGGCACAAGATTTAAACCTGCTCTGACAGGTTTAAAGAGGTCATTAAGCTTGAGAAACTGACATGGCATTTGAAGAAAGCAGTGACCAGCCCTTTGTGTTTCTCTAGTTCCCTCGGACCCTGGGCTGCTGTGTTAGGATGGGTGAAGGTCATTGTCATTGGCCAAGATGCCAGGTGATCTTGACAACCTAGGGATTCAGCTTGGTCAATAAAGGAGCTGATGGACCCAGGTCCCCAGAGGTGAGCAAGTTAAACCCTGGAGCCATTTGGGCAGGGTACAAGCTAGATCCTGGTAACATGAGCCCTCCTCTCCAATGTCTAACCTTTTTGGAATTCCACAAGCTCACCCAGAGTGACAGAATAACAGCAAGGAACTGGGTCAACCTCCAAGAGGAAAATTCCATGCTGGGTGCCCACAGAGGCTTCCCTGTGGGCCTTGGCTTGGCTCTGCTCTATGAAGCTGGGCCAGGCAGGCTCAGCTTTGGAGTGTGGGCCTCCTGCCCCACAGAGGGATCTCTTTCCAGGAGCTGTGACCTGCTCTGCCGTGAAGCCCACGGATGAGAACAATGAGCAGAGCTGCTGGCTTTACCCCACGTTTTTCAGAACATATAGTCCTGCCTGACCAAATTACTCCTCTTGAAGCCTCCATAGCTGCCCAATAGCCAAAATCAAGTCCATGCCATTCCCTGGCCTGCAACATCTCATGTGCCCTGGCCCTGCACTCTCTCTGGGCTGCCGCTCATCATATCTGACACTCGGAGCAGGCTGACCACCTGTGGTTCTTTGGAGGAGCCGGCTCCCTCTCACCACTAGGTCTCCTCTGGTCCCCTCTGCCAAAAATGCTCTAGAGACCTGGCTTGCAGCCTCTGGATATCCTCACATGGCTTCCCCAAGGTCCATTATGACCTGTCCCCTTCTGTGAGCTCAGCATCTCCCCTTTACAGCACTTCCCACACTGGTTTCCCACCACCCGTGTCCTGTCTGTCCCCCAAGGGGCAGTGAGTGCAGGGTTGTGGGTGTGGCTGATCTCTGAGTCCTCAGCACCTGCCAGCATAGACCTTCTATATCTGCTTATTAAATGAGCCAATGGAGGGATCAGTAAATGAAGAGATAAATGAATTCCCCCATGTGAAAAAGGAACAGTCTCTGAGCCGCAGGACTCCTGGTGCAGAGGCAGTGAGGGATTCCTGGAGTAGGAAGAGGGCTCCAGACCCCCAAGGGACAGAAGTACCAGGCAACTGAACCCTGGTGCCTCAGGAAGCTCGTCCACCTACAGCATTTCTATCAGTCTCTCATCCAACCCCATCCTGCTGTCAGTAGCCCCTTCAGCATGGCCACCTCTGTGGCACTGAAGGATATGGAGGTGCTCCTCCAGCCTCCTCTGTTCAGATGACAACTCTCCAAACAGGAGCCATGGCCCAGGTGGCCAGAGATGAGCCTTGAGGTGGGCAGAGAGTGGATTCCAGGGCACTAGGTCTTCCTCCTGTTCTCACTCAAAAGCTTTCGAACAAGACCATGAACTTTTGGCTTCTCCACCCCGAAGGCCACTCCCCTGCCATCTTGAAGTGATTTACCAACAGCTACTCAAGTCCCGTTCTCCTGTCCCTTTCTTTCTGGTTCTTTGTCACCCCAAGTTGTTCTTCCACAGGAGACCAGAGCAGGTGAGAGGAAGATGGGCACAGGGCTTTGTGCCTGCCTCTGAGATACAGCAAAGAATGTTCCAAACACCGTGGTCCAGAGAGCAGAGCTCAGGCCCCTGGGGCTTCAGCCTCCCCCTGGCCCTCAGCAAAGGTGGCTCCTGTTGCTAGAAATGGCCTTTGAGGCAACCTGAGTGTCCAGGACTGTGGGTTTTTTCTCTTTTCACTGTACTATTGGAAATGTCCGTATATGCCCTCACACATAAATATGCAATCACATAAATATGCTTGTGCAGGCAGTCTTCTTGGAATATATCATGAAAAACTCATAATAGCAATTGCTTTTGAAAGGACAGCGGCCATAAGGGGGCCATTGAGACAGCCTGCCCTCTGTGCCTTTGGAACTTTCCTATGCTCACACATTATCTGTCTCTAATCCATTAATTAAAATTTAAAACTTAATCTTGAACCATTCGGCTGGGGCCGTGGTTAATCAAGCTGAGTACTCCTGTGTCTATTTCAAACCCTGCTGTGAAGAAACACCACGTACCCCAATGGTACCAAGACTAAGACCCGATTGCCTGGCTCGGTGCCTTCTAGGACTCCACTTTTTATGGAGCCCGTAATTTAGGGAGGAAATAATATCAGCCGTATATTTAGCCTGTATAGATTGCTTGGAATTATGGCACATTAATATTTTGGGAAACAGACAAAAGCAGCACCCCACTTGAATATCTTTTGTGTTTCTCTGTAATTGTTGGTTGAATTACAAACTGTGCCTCTGCTAAAAGGAAAAAATACAAAAGAAAGAAAAAACAACAACAACAAAAAACTTGACCCTTTTGTCAGAGCAGCTCTTGTAAAAATAATAATAGTAACAATAAAAATAAAACAGAAAAGCTTCAAGTTTTCCCCAAACACAGATAGAAATAAAATTCCCTCTACATCACATCTTTTTATACCAGAGTCCCAGTCTCAGTGCCTGCCTTTCCTTCACGTGCTATGAAGTTTTACTTCTGGTCTTCATTCTGAGCAGCATCCGTGTCCTAATCTATAGATAGTGACCAGAGGTGGACACAACATTCTGTCTGTGATTCACCTCCCTTACTCTACCCACTCTGCTTGTATTAATGAAGCCCTGGGACCTGCTTCCGTCATTGGCTCCCTGGCAGTTAGCTTCATCAGAGCATGGGCTGTGTTTCTTTATTTACTGTTCTAGGCCCGACTCCTAGAACTGAACTTGGCACATATTGGTTGTTCTAAAAGTAGGCATTTGTCAAATTAATAGTGAACACATAAAATAGAAAGCCCTCAGGCATTTTTCCCAAGATCCTCTGTCAAATCGGACTGCAGCCTCCTTTACAGAGGAGATTGATGATTTCATAGGAAGGGCTGGAAGTCACACTGACCCCTTGTAGTTCTGTCCTTTGGATTTGGCCCTTTGCTCTAGCTTCAGGGGATTTGGATCCTGCTGCCTTTCACACAGCATGCTAGCTAGCCTCCTGTGGGTCATCCAGAGCTCTGGACCTTTCTCCAAGTAGTGGAGGAAATAGCAGAAGAGGAGAAGGGCAGGTATAGAAAGTCTGCTGTCCACTGTGGTGCGTGAGAAGCACCATGCAGGAGGACAGGAGAGGTGCAGTGGACTCTGGGGGCAGTTGTGCTGGGCCTGGAAGTATGGGGTGGAGCATCTGGCAGGGCTCAGGGTGAGGCAGCCATGGAGAAAACCCAGGCTCGGGGGCAAGTAACCCTGGCAATACTAAGGCCGATGACGAAGTCCACTCTTCCCTTTGGGTTCTGCAAGAAACTGGAGCACCTTTCACAAGCCCAGTTTAATTTAACCCATGAACACCCCAGTCCTTCATGGTAAGAAGAGTCCTTTAAAGTCACAGAAGTGCTCAAACTGAGGCACTGGCTCTTATCCAGGGAGGGTGACCCTAGCGTGTGGCCCCAAAGTTCTATTCCACATATTTGGAAAAGAAAAGGGATTTTGAAAAAAACAAAAACCCTGTCTCTAATCCTTTTTGCAGCCCCCAGTCTAACCTTTCTGGGTGAGCAGCCTTTCTGCAAGTGTCTGTTCAGCTTCTCCAGGTTCAATGTAAATCTGGAGGAAGTTTGGATCCCCCAGCTCACAGATAACCAGGCCCAACCTTAAAATTGTCTGCTCACTCCAACAGCCAGGCCAAGAGAGCAAGGGGTTGCTGTAGGGAGGGCCGGCACAGTGGTTTCTCTGGAGGGCGATACTCTCTTTATAATCTTGGACACCAGATGTGAAGTCTGGTCTGTGCTCGGGGATAGATTGGTAGTCAGAAGGGGATAAGTTCTTTGGCTACAGAGAGAAGAATGGAGGAGACCAGGCCTGGGGAGCCGGGTCAGAGATGTCTCCACAGCAGAGACCAGAGGTGATGGGGTCTGGCCTTGGGTGGGGTGGGGAGCTGAAGATAATTCTGGGGGCCTAAAGCTGGTAAGGAGAGATGATCCAGGGGCAAGAAGGATATGAGGGGGCTCTGGAATCTCCCACTTAGAGGCAAAGGAAAGAAGGACCCATCCCATTTTGATGAGAAGCAAACTGGTGACAGATGCAGGTGCAAGCCCCAGCTCCACCACCAGCAGCCATGTGACCACAGCAGGTCACCAGTCCTCTGGGATCCTGTTCAGGTAGGAGGCATACCTCCCCCGTCCACCAGCCTGGGGTGAGAACTAGACAGACAGCACAGGCTGGGTGCTGGGTGTGGCATCTGCTCACGGTACTTGATAAATGGTACCTGACAGCACCTCTGGGGTCTCATGCCCCCCACATGTCTGAAGCATCTCCCAGGGACTGGCACAGGACTGGGACTTACTTTGAGGCCTTCTTGCTGGTAACTCTGGGAGATGCAGTCCAGGACGCCTTTGTATTTGTTTAAATAAACCCCATCAGCTTGGAGTCGGCTTTTCACAACATCCATAGGAGTCGCTGTCCCCCAGGAAATCGCTCCTGCAAAGAGAGAAAAGATCAGGTGTCAGGGCTGGCTGGCTGGCTGGCTAGGGTCTGGAGGGACCTGGCTCCCTGAGGATTTCCACCACAAAGAAGCTCCCTAAGCTGCTGAGGGACCTGGAAAGAGCTCAGGGCTGGGACCTGCAGAATCTGTTTCTGATCCTGCCCCACCACTTGTTGTGGGACTCAGAGCCTGGGGCCCCTCATCTGTAAAGTAGAGCAGTGCCTATCTTCACGGAGCAAGGACCCAGTGAACTGATAAATATGAAGCCTTGACCATGGACTTGCCAGTCCATGGTCAGTGCTGGACAAATGGCAGCGTTTATTGTTATGATGGGTGAGACAGTGACAAGCTCCACAAGAATGTGGCAGCGGGAGGCAGTGCCCAGGGTGAGGCTGCTAAAGGTTTTCAACTCCCCCAGGGCAGGATTTACATTGAACCTGGAGAAGCTGAATAAACACTTGCAGATGGCTCCTCACCCAGAAGGGCCAAACTGGGGATTGCATAAAAGATTAGGGACAGGGCTTTTTGTTTGTTCCTGTTTTTTTTTTTTTTTCCAAAATCCCTTTTCTTTTCCAAATATGTGGAATAGAACTTTGGGACCACATGCCACAGTCATCCTCACTGGATAAGCACCATGCCCCAGTTTGAGCACTTTTGTGACTTTAAAGGATTCTAGGAAAATAATGCCAGGTTATTGTGTAAACACAGAAATTGGCACATTCTCTGGTGGAGAGAGAAAATGCACCAATGTCAAAGTCCAGGGCAGTCGGTTTGCTAGGTTAAATAATTGCTGCTCAGCAGCTCCTAAAAGACACCTTCGCTTATTCTGAACCTCTGCCGCTCCTGACCTTCAGGCCCCCTGTAAGCCTCTGGATCTCAACTCCTTCCAGCCTTCTGCCAGAATAATGGGATGCTTCCTCAGGGCTGCCCTGGTGCGCTCAGCCCAAGACAAGGGCATCGTGAAATGAGGTCTGCTGCCAGGCTGCTTGCACCTGCTCTCAACAGAAATGAGAGCAGATGGAAACTTCTCATCCTCTGGGCCAACCAGTGTTCATGCACTTTTACCAGGAGCAGGGCAAGGGACGGGCCTCAGATGCATGGGGGCACAGGGAGCACAGAATTGTTTGGTGGCAAAGACGTGGGCTGTATTATGTATTTGCTGAGTTCAAGCATAGCTAGTTAGGAGGAGGAGAAGGAGGAAGGAAGAGAAGAAGGAGGAAGGAGCAAAGATTTTCTTCTCTCTTGGGTCGGTGAGTCAGCATCGAATGTGTCAAGATATCTGTCTTCCTGAAAAGCAGTCTTCTCTCGACTTCCACGTGCTGCTCTGCCCACAGCCTACAGCTCCATTTCTCGATTCCTCATTAGAGCACAGCAAAATTTGTCAGAAGTATTGTATATACTTGGGTTCTCTAATTTCTTTCATCCCATTCTCTTTGAATCCCACTTAAATGTGGTTTTGGGGTGTTTTTGTTAGTGTTGTTTTGGTACCAGGGGTTGGACTCAGGGGTGCTTAACCATTGAGCCACATCCCCAGCCCTTTTTAAAATACATATGCATATTTTATTAGGGATAGAGTCTCACCGAGTTGCTTAGGGCCTCACTAAGTTGCTGAGGCTGGCTTTGAACTCAAGATCCTCCTGCCTCAGCCTCCTGAGCCTCTGGGATTACAGGCATGCACCACTGCTCCCAGCCTTAAATTAGGTTTTTAACACCCTTCTCTCCATTGAAATGACTCTCATCAAAGGGGGAGAACAGGGCTTGGTCAAGTTGCAGCAAAGAGATGAGTGTGGCTGGAGAAGAGGAAGTAAAGGGAGACGAAAAGTAGAAAATAAGGTCCGAGGGGTAGCAGGAGCCAAATCAGAGAGGGCCTGGAAAACCACTGGAGGCTGTTGAGTGTTACTATAAATCAAATAGGGATATGGTGCAGGGTTCCGGGCAGGGAGGTTAAGTGGCAAATCCACAGTCACAAAATGAGTTAGTGTGGATTTGAACTTGGGTTTTTCTGACTGCAGGGTCCCTGCTGTGAGACTCATCCCTGAACTAGCTGTATGACCTTGGGTGGGCTACTTAGTATATCTGACCCTGAGTTTTCTCATCTGTGACATGGGGAGGTTGATTCCCACCTTCTAGACACAGTGACTTCCTCACATCAGGAAGGTTGGCAGTGAGTCAGCACAGGAGAGCCATGAGAACAGATTTCCTGCCCGTGGCTCAGCAGTCCCTGACGTAGAGTGCATGCTCAGAAAACGTTCTGTTGTCTGGGAGTCCGTGAACCCCCATGGGGACTTCCATTCTCACAGCTCCAGAGTGAAGGGGATAAGAGGATGAGGGGACATCCGCCGTTCTGAGCTCTTTCTCCACCTTTCTATGCCTGGCGCAGAGAAGTACTTAACCAAGAATTCCTGGATGTGTGGCTGGATGAGTCCCGCCTCCCTCATGGCTCAGAAGGTCATGGTAGGCTCCACCACTGTCCCCTGTTGCACTTCAATGGCTGGCCCAGGGACAGGGCTCTAGCTGCTGCTGCTCTTACCTGCCATGCCACCTGCCAGCCACACAGCACAGGGGCTGGGACCTGCGCAGGCCTCGGGTGTGATCCACTCACTCAGGAACACGTAGGGGATAAAGTAGAGACAATAGCCAGGGATGTCCCTCAGCAGCATGGCACTGGCCCCCCGGTACAGCCCCGCCAGGCCCTCAGTCCTCACGATGGTCGCGATGCAGTGCACCGGTCCCTGGTAGGCTGGCTGCTCCCCAAAAGCCGCTGCCCTGGACTTCACACTGAGGTTGGCTACAGAGACAGGGGAGAGAAGATGGCATGTGACCCAGGGGTGAGAAACTGGCCATCCCTGGTACTGGAGCCAGTGCAGCCCATGACAGTTCTACTCACGTGGCTTGGGGTTTTACCAAACCTTCCGGCCTTCTTGGCAGCTCACAAAAGAATTTGGAAAACCCAACAAGGAGCCCCTGCCAACCTGCACAGTTGGATTGGAGACAATTCCAGGCAGGTGATAAAGTGCAAGCTGCCTTAGGATTCCCAGGGCCTTCTGGTCAACTCTCACTGTGTCTTTCTAAGCAGATGTGACTGCAGAGTGCCTAGGATCAATGACAAGTAGACACACCAAACTCTTTCTTGAAGCAGAGCCTAGAGAATCTAATGTGCGCTCTCTCTCTCTCTCTCTCTCTCTCTCTCTCTCTCTCTCTCTCTCTC